AGGTGGGGTCGGGGCTCCGAAAGCTCCGCCCCTCCGCGGTCCCACCCTTGCCGATCCGCGCTAGTGGGGTGTGTGAGGACTTGGGGGCGCGCCTGCCAGAAAGCGCACACTTTCCCTGCGGGCTCGCGATCCCCGGGTGCGAGCAGCAAGTGCGGAGACCCTCCCTGCTGCCAACGCAACCAACTTTCCTAACCCGGGGCAAAGATGTCATGGAGCCCACATTTTCAATCTGGGGACCCACGGTGGTCAAAGGTATTCTTATCGTGGATAAATATTGACCTCTGCCGAGCCACACCTTTGTTCTAATGGAATTTTACTCTCGTTTAAGAATCTTATTGGAAAAAATAAATAATATGTGTATCGCATGCACAGTGCCCGTATATACTCGACTACAATTACACATTTGCAGAGTCTGAAGTAAAAGGACCGTCTCGCACGCCCTCCCCACTGCGGTCCAGCCTCAGAGGTAACCTCCGGTCACAGCGTCTTCCCACCACCCTACCCCGCCCTCCTCGCATAGATTGCCAGAGGAAACTCCCCGGCTTCTCAAAAGGATTCTTCATGCAGCTCACGCACACAGCGGTGAGCACAGCCAAGCCCGCAGCGGCTCATCCCCAGGGTCTCGCCCCAACGCCACGTGTAGGTCTGAAACCCTAGCTGGGGTGTGAAGTCAGCCGGGACACACAGCTCACACCCAAATTAGCACTGCCAGGACATTTTAGACAGGGTTACAACCTGACCTTCTCTGTATACTGAACCAAGCGCTTGACTTTTGATAGGATGAGAACTCCATATTTAATGAAAAGGTATCGTTGCTATTAAGACACCATCGTTATTTATTCTGTGGTCTTAAGGGATGTGGTTTTGAACTTGATGTCCTGCGTTTTATTGGCCAAATGAATTTGGATAATCTATAACTGAGCTATAAATAAGCTCCACGTGTTTTTAGCAGGAAGGGATTGGGTGTTGCAGTTGGCTAGTTTCCATAATTAGCCTCGACCTTGGACAAATCTTTTGGGTCTGCTAAGCCTCAGTTTCCTTGTCTATAAATATGGGAGTTGTGTGTGTGTGTGTGTGTGTGTGTGTGTGTGTGTGTGTGTGTGAGCTGTTTTTATCTTTCTTTTTCACATTCCGTCATCTTCTGCTTAGGGACGCTCCCCAACCCCATTCCCAAATCCCAGGTGTTGTTTTCCTGGCTCTGACATCAATCTGTAATTACACCTTTATTTGTGGCCTTCTCATCACACTGTAAGTGGTCAGGAACCTCTCCTTGGGGTCATCATGGCATCCCCAGCACCCAGGAGAGTCTGGTGTATTGCAGGTACACAGTAATTGCTATCACTCAGTAGTCTCTCCTTTTAAAAAATGCTCTTTGGAAGAGCCTGGCATTTCACAATTTAAGTCATCCTTGGAAAGTACCAGGTAGGGTTTTCTCACTTTGGGGTACAAACAGCCTACTTCCTCGACCAGAGTTTAAATCTCAGCTCAACTGTGGGTCAGTGGAGGATGATGAGCGTGGTTGATGGAGACAGGCCTATAAATACTACTTACTCACCCATACTCAATTCCAGTGGAACTACGCACAGGCAGCTGAAATATGCCTATGAGCACTGTCTTTAAATAAGGCCATGGGGGTATGTTGAGGGTGACAATTAACAACTGTACATGGCTTCAAGAATAATCTAGAAATGTTCCTAATATAAAACTCCAGGGAACCTTTGTTTTTCTTTTAACCCTGAATTCCTTAGGCATAGGAACAGAAAATAGGCTAACTTGGGCTCAAGACTGTTTTGTTGGTTTGTTTGAATAAGGCAGTGGCAAATTAGAACAGGAAGCAGCAAGCCACAGAAGTATCTATAGCAGTTTTTTTTCTCTCCTCTTCCTCCTCCTCTTCCTCTTTCTTCCTTTTGGTTTCTGGGTTTCTCTGTATAGCCTTGACTGTTCTGGAATTTGCTCTGCTCTGTAGACCAGGTTGGCCTCGAACTCAGAGATTTGCCTACCTCTGCCGCCAGAGTGCTACGATTAAAGGCAGGCGCCACTACACGCGGCCCCAGTTTCTCTTCTGCTGTGCAGAGTAGCAGAGGGAGAGTTAAAATCTGGCTTCATAGAGAGGCAGCTGGGGCGTCTGCTGTTTCCCGGCCACTCTTTCCTTCCATTTGTGAGAAGGACGCCTTGCTCGCCACGGAGAAGCCAGGTCGCCAGGCTGCCCCTCGCAGCAGCAGTTAGGGGAGGGAAGAGCCAACGGCCGGCTTGCGAGAAGCGCCCGGCGTTGGCGCACCCGGGAGGCGACTCTCCTCCGAGCCCCACGGCCCGCGGGCGGGCAAGCTGGCGGAGCTCCCGGGGTGTGGAGCAATTTGCTGTTTCTGTCGGTTGCAAATGAGTGATGGCACCTGCTGGGCGAGAAGCCACCCTCAGAAAGTGGAGGCAGCATGAGTAGAGGAGGGGTTCCTTTTTGCCTGACTGACAAAACAGGCACTTGGCGGGCTATCTCTCAAGGGTCGGAGTCACCCCCACCCCCACCCCCCGCCGACCGCGCGCCCCGACGCTCAACCCATCCTTCTAGATAACTTCAAGTGCAGAGCTGTAAACGTGTAGCCAGGACTCAGAGTACCGAGTCAGAACTCTGCCAAGACCCCGTGCAGAAAGAGTGACACTCCAGCTCACCCCTGGCCCTAGTGACATCAGGGAAGGCGGTCGGCGCTGGGAGCTTGCCCTCTCGATCCAAGCAGGGGTTTTGGGTCAAACACTTACTTCATCATCAGGCTCGAGGCTGGACCCTGCAAGGACATCTTGATTGCACAACAGTCTTTGCCCTGAGGCACCTGTAGTGTAGTTGGAAAACAGGAGGAAAAGGATCTTTCTGAGGAGTGGCAGGCTCCTTGTCCATCTGGGTAGACCCCTCCTTCCAATAAAATAGTCCTAATAAAATCTGCACTTGCAAATGCTACTTTGGGTCAACCTGCTGGCCCTCCCTTCCAAGCAGTGACCTTATGAAGCTGTGACCTGCTAAAAGAAGTTAAGTGTGAAAGGGAGGGCCGTAGTTGCATAATCTGACATTGCCAGTTAGATTTTATCCTGGCCAGCAGCTGTGGGGTGTGTTGGGTTTGGGGGTCCATGGAATGAGGAACATGCAGGCCATATGGGAGAAAACCACACAAAAGGGAGATGTTTTCACAAGGCCAAAGAAACAACTGAGTTTCAAACAATTTACATCAAGTCTAAAAATGGACACTAGATTCAGTAAGTTTGTGGGAAGTGTGGAGCCGGCTCAGCAGGGTAAAGGTGATTGCTGCAGGTGCTTACTGCCCAGACTGATGACCTGAGTCCCATCAGTCCCTGGACCCACGCGATAGGAGGGGAGAACAGACTACAGAAAGTTGGGGTCTGACTGCCGTCTTCACTGAAGAGTGAGCAAAAGAGAACCATAGAAGGCAGCTGAGTTGAAAAAAGAATAGAAATGGATGACTGGAACTTGGTTTGCAGAGACAAGAGGCAGAAGAGCAGCCAGGAGATCCTATTACTCTTGGCATAACGTTACGGAAAGTGTGTTCCCGGACACTTAGAAGACACTAGGAAGAAGGAGCTGTTGGAGGCCCACGTTGCACAGGGTTGAGGAATGAAGAAATACCAAAGTGGCAGACGTGAGGTGGGCAGATAACCCTGTGGGAGAGTGCTTGCCCAGCAAGTGCAAGACCCTGGGTTTGATCCTTAACACTACAAAGGATAAAAGCATACAGAAACCATGAAGTTCCACTACAAAGAGCTGAAGAAGGGGAGACTTGGGAAGAGAGAGGTCGATGATAATCAGACTCACGTGGCAGGGCACCGCCAAGCCCTCCTTGGAAAGTCACTTAGTTTTCTATACCTGATAATATGTGGGAATGTTTAATCTAAAAACCCAGGGCCTGTGCGTATGGGTGAGGGTCAGTGGATGAACATGCTGTTAGCCTGGTAAACTGAATTCTATTCCTGGAGCCCACGTAAAAAGCTGGATGCAAGGATTGCATCTGTCATTGAGTACCTGTGGTGAGATGGGAAGTGGAGACAGGGGGATGGCCTGGAAGCGTGTAGGCTGGCTAGCCTGGAGTCCACAGTACAGCAGCAGCAGCAACACGAGAGATCTTGCCTCAAAAACAAGGTAGAAGCAGAGAGATGACTCCAAAAGTTGTCCTCAGACCTCCTCATGCACCATGTGGGTGACACTGTTACACACACACACACACACACACACACACACACACACACACACACTATCATGACGGACATTGCCAGCTTTTGAGCCCCATCTGCTGGGTATGGTAGAATGGTAATCAAAGTAAAATGAGCATTGGGTTTGTTAAAAAAACAAAACAAACAAACAAACAAAAAACTATCAGTCCCCGGAACAGAAAACAAACACCACATTTCTTCATTTATTTATCTTTTTTCTTCATGACTTTAGGCAGTAGAATAAAGTGACTTGGAAGTCGACTCTTGTGTGAAGCTGACTGATTTAGACATGAGTGCAGTTGGAGGGTTTGGCCGCAGCTGCAGACCAGCTGGGATGTGGTCAGTGAACATAGCCTCCCATCCCACAATGACACCCACAGAAGCCAGACCTTGACAGTCTAGAGGCCCTGGGAACCAGCTTGGCAGGCCACATTCCCTTTGTGGTGATCTGGAAGGTGGGGAGGCCTGCTGGCTTCTTATTCTTCTGGGCTGGGGGGATCCCTGTGGCAATCATTTACTAAGTTCCTCCCCTACAAGCACAGTCGGTATCCACCATAGATGCTGCCTATGTCCTTGTGCCCATCCTAGCAGGTAAGAATTAGTCGTTGTATTTTATAAAAAAAAAAAAAAATGGGTTCCAAAAGCGAATAAGCAATCAGGATTTGCATTCATGTCTACCTACCTGAGTTCAAAGCCGATGCATTTTACATCAATTAGTAGCCTTTTTTTTTTTTTTTTAATTTTCCTATTTTCTTACGCTTCTTGTTAGGCTCAGGACAGAACTACTACACACCCTGTGTCCTAGGGAGTCAGCATGGACCTCTGCTTTCTACAGTGCTGTCAAAGCTAGTGGAGTAAGCACCTACAGTGAAATGCATCCAATGTTCATGGATGAGCTCCTCTGGTGCATTGTGGGCTCCGAGTACTCTGAGTCATGTGAACCACAGGGACGCTCAGAGAGACACTGTACTTCATTAAGCATTCTGATGAGTGTCCTAAGAATGACTGAGTCATACCCGTTTCATGGGCTCTTATTTTGCTTGCTAAACTTTGGGTCCTTCGGGAGGGAATCTCACTGGTTGGATAGAAATAAATCATACTTCACACAGGGAGATCTTGGTTTCCAGTGAAGACTAATTTTAAAGGTTCTCTTAGGAGAGCACCAAAAATTGAATGCAGACTACAGAGCAAACACATTTATCCATGGATAGGAGGGGGAGGGAAGAGAGAGAGAGTGAGAGTTTTAGGGTGTTAAGATTTATCAGAAGGTACTACTTGAGGTATTCAATCATGTGTGTATGCACGCACATATGACATATATACACACACATACACATATATATTATACACACACATATATACACACATATACATAACACACACACACACACACACACACACACACACACACACACACATATGGACTTGCTATGTAGCCCAGTCTGGCCTTGAACTCTCCACACTCTGGAGTGCTGGGATTACATGTTTGTGTTATCATTCCTGGCTTCAATTATCTTATAACAAAAAATATCACTAGTATTTAGACTATTGATGTGATATTTGATTAGGGTAAGGCTGGACTGTTGTAAAGAGGAAACTCAATAATAAGACTTCAAGAATAAAGTTTATTCATTGCTATCTAGGGTGAACTTCTAGGTTGGCAGGGGACTCTGCTCCATGTGATCATTCAGATTCTTGCCAGTCATTGTTCTGTTCAGTCTCCCTCCCTAAATCCCTATTGTGATATAAATAGTTAGAGCTGGAGTGTTGTATGACTGGGTTGCAGTGTAAGCAGGGCAAAGCATGTGGAGGAGGGCTGGCTCTGTTCTTATCATTATGGCTTCTCATTTGTCCCTATCTAGCTGCAAGGGAAGCTGGAAAATTAAAGTTGCTGGGCAGTCATCGATCTATTTCTATGCAACAGGGAACTTAGATTGTTGTTGCCTAGCAATATTTGGTTGACAACTTGCAGCTGAGTACTTTTTTTTTTTTTTTTTTTTTTTGAGACAGGGTCTCTACACAGTCCTGGCTGTCCTGGAACTCACTATTTAGACCAGCTTGGCCTTGAACTCACAGAGATCTGCCTTCCTCTGCCTCCCGAGTGCTAGGATTAAAGCTGTGCAGCACCATGCCCAGATCAGGAATGCATTTTATTGATCCAACATGGCATAGAGGGAAAGTGCTGGTTCTGGACCCAAAGGACCCAAGTTTTAATCTGTGTCTCTTGCACTGGAAAAGACGGCTCTTGTTTTCTTCGACTGCTGTACCCTCCCTCCTTCAAAAGCCACTGGGAGGATTATGAACACCACAGCTGCTTGATATCATTATTCCAAGTTGGAATCAATAAAAACAACCCTGAGTTAGCTTAAAGAACTGGAAATTTTGTTCGAGAGCCAAACCATCTTACAGAATCTAAAGACAGGACATCTAAAGATGAACCTCTGTGGGGAAGGCCTGGGATTAGAACTGGAAATATTTGAGAGGAACAGGATGAAAGAGGGGGAAACCCCAGGAGTCATCGGTGTCTTAGCAAATACTATGGGTGCTAACTTTGACGCTGATCTTGACTGGATCCATTTCTCTCCTTCTCAACTCCTCACCTTCGAACCGTGCTTGGACGGTAACAGCCCATTGCCTGGTCCCTCTGCATCCATTCTCGTGCTCTCGAATCCAGTCTTTGACATAGCAACCAGAATGAAGTGTAGAATTGTTTATGAGATCCCGTCTTCTCTTTGGGACTTCAACTGTCCTTTGACAGTGTGTTGACTAAAACTCGCCATGGCTTCCTGTAGCCTCGTAACCGTGGGGATTTCTCTGAGGGCACTTTCCACTTTGCCCTTGCCACTTTGCCTCAGCTACTCGCCCCAGCTGCATCTAAATGCATAGTCTACATCTGGCTCCTGCCTCAGGGCCTTTGCACTAGCTATTGCCCCTGCATGGAAGCCTCTCAAGAACTTCTCCTTTCAGCAATTTGCATCTCAGTATTAAATCTCAGCGTGCTCTCTCTTACTCACCACCCTATTTTCTTTCCTTCTCTACCCAATACTTACCATGATTTTACACTTTTCTTACAAATCTATGTTTATTGTCATCCAATTCCTTTTTTTTAAATAAGGGAGGCACATCTTTTCTTTAAAAGTTATTTATTTTATGTGTATGCATGTTCTGCCTGCATGTGTTTTTAGGTAACACATCTGTGCCTGGTGCTGGCAAAGCCAGAAGAGGGTGTCAGATTCCATGGAACTGGAGTTAAGGACAGTTGTGAGCTGCCATGTGGGTGCTGGGAACTGAACCCTGGTCCTCTGCAAGAGCAGCCAGTGATGTTAACAGCTGAGCGTCTCTCCAGCCCCAGTTGGTACTCCGTTCATAGAATTCAACATGTCAACAAGTAAAATCTTTGTAAAAGTAGGCAACTCTTTATTTATCTCTTTTGCTCAGGGATCCTTTTAGAATAAACTTTATAAATTAAACAAACAAACAAACAAACAAACAAACAAACAAAAAACTTGCTGGGTGGTGGTGGCACATACCTTATATCCCAGCACTTGGAAGGCAGAAGCAGGTGGATCTCTATGAGTTCGAGGCCAGACTGGTCTACAAGTTCCAAGATAGCCAAGGCTACACAGAGAAACTGCCTCGAAAAAACAAACAAACAAAAATGACTACAAATCCCCAAAACTGTATGGTCACTGTTTCTGATCTTCTGAAAACTTAACTGTGTATTTTGAACTTTCCACTTCAACAAATACTGACTTACTATGCTTACATTACTTCATTACACAGATACATCACACCTAACTTAACTGCCTTGTATTGGGCATTGGTGCACATTCTGATATAGAGACATTTTTACACATTCTTCATGTCTCCCACACACCTTTGAAATACTGAATCAAAGGATGTCGATGCTCTTGGGCCTGATGACTTCCAGAAAAGCTGCAGTTGTTTTCGGTGCCTCCTAGGAGTGTGAGAGTGCCAGCTCCCCAAGACCCCAGGAAGAGGACTGTAATTTTTTTTGTCAATTTGGTGTACTAAAAATGCCACCTCAACGTATCAATTCATACCTTAAAATACCATCACCAGGGGTGTAGAATTTGTCCCTTTGTTTATTAAATTCTTTCTTCTGTCCTCTTTCACATTGTTCACTTCCTTGGCTCCCTTTTTGAAATTGGCATCTTATCTGCATGTCGTTTTCCCTTTCTCGGTTGTGGATTTTCCTCGTTTGTCTTTATTGCGGGAATGAGGGGCATGGCTTTTCTCTGTGCTCTGCAGGCTCCCTGCAGTGCCCTCTTCTACACTAGTAGGAAAGAAGTTACCTGGGTCTATTGCCTGAGGAGGTGTGCGAAGAAGTCCGCTGTGACTAAAGGGGCTGGGGTCTTATAACCTGGCTTGTGGCTTTCAATCCCTTATGAACTGTGTCTGAATGATCGTCGGGAGACCTTCACTTGGCCCAAAGCCATAAAACTGAGGCAGGGACATCTTCAAGAAGGGAAGTAGCCCTTCATCCATTTTGTGAGTCTATACAGAGTGGACTGAGGCCAACCAATCAGAGTATTCATAGAGCATCCAAGCGTTGCAGACAAGTGAGCATCTAGAGATGCCTTCTGAGTCTTCAGGGAACACTTTCAGTGATTGAGGACTTAGCCTAGGAGGTAAGCAGAACCTCTCAGTGCAGCAAATGGTACCGGCCAAGCTTTGGGCCAGCTAACTCCCTATCAACCCTGAGAGTGATCACCAGTTTCAGGCTTAAACAGGGAAAGGGAATCCACTCTAGGGGTTAGTTCTTGATAGTTAAGTAGTCAATCAACATTTCCTCATTCGAATTTTATTTCTCTGGTCTTCTCTTCCCCAGAGGGCACGATTTCCACTGGAGCTGATTCATTCTTAGGCTTGGTTACTGGAGAAGTTCTCAGCAAGAAACCCAAATCTGAGACCTACTGCTCTTTCCTGTGAGAAAGAATGCTCAGAAAGTCCCTTGCGCAACCAGGGAGGGGACTGGTACCCAAACCAAGGAGATGAAAAGATTCAGCAGGAAGCTGGGTGTGGTCAGTTAAAGCATTGCTCTTTAACCTGAGTGTCCCCCTCCCTCCCCTTCCCTCCCCCTCCCTGCCTCCTCCCCCCTTTTACTTTTGTATACACATGTACAGGACTTAAAGTATTCTTGTGATAAAACAATAGCAAAAGTCATTGTTTTAAAAAATATCTTGGCAAAATAAAAAGCTACCAAATGCATATTTCTCTCTCTAATTTCTCCCATTCTTCTGGAACATTCGCAGACATTATATTACATTTCAGTGTAAGGCTCTCCATGTCACTGGGAGCATGATGGATGCTTTATCCTTTAGAGAAATCACTTTTTTAAAAAGATTTATTTATTTATTTATTTATTTATTTATTTATTTATTTATTTATTTATTATGAACACAGAAGAGGGTGCCAGATCTCATTTCAGATGGTTGTGAGCCACCATGTGGGTGCTGGGAATTGAACTCAGGACCTCTGGAAGAGCAGTCAGTGCTCTTAACCTCTGAGCCATCTCTCTAGCCTGAGAAATCACTTTTGTAGAACCCCCAAACTCACTTCTCCAACAGCCAGCCTACTGTCCTTTTTTTCCCAGCAGTAGGCATGTGGACTTCTACCTCATCATCCCAGTGGGGTGCCGGGCTGCCAAGTTCAAGAGGGCTGTGGTTGGCCTGACTGCCGACAGTTGATGATTTTTAACCTCTGCGATTCTAAAGTTGCATTGGCCAAGATCTTCCAGTCTGTAATCATATAACAGCGGCACCCACACCCCTGGCCTCCAGAAACAAAGCATGAAAAAGAAGCCAGCCAGCTCAGCATGGAAGGAGCTTGTGATCTAGGGACCTGAGTGAATTCCCAGAGGGAAATGCCAGGAGGAAGTTCAGGTCACATGGCTCTCCTCTTTCCCCACTGTGTCCCAGCTTCTTCAGACTGGGTTCATTTCAGGAACTGCAGATCCTCCAGGGAAACTCCTTAAGGGCCCCGCTTCACACAGCGGAAGTCAGCTTGCTTGTTTTTAAATGAGCAGGATCTGGACATTGGATTTTTTTTTTTTAATTTTAGAAAATACAAAAATAAAGCAAGAAGATAAATATAAATGGGGGAAAAAATGAAGCTTCACTATTTTCTCAGTTGTAGAAAAAAAATAAAATAAAATAAAAAAGCATACCGTGGAGCCTGGAAGCCCAGATCTGAAGAGCAGAGGCAATCAATGGAATGGATGCAGAGCTAGTCCTGCGGTTCAGGTTTGCGGTCCTGTGTTATCACTTGTTCCAATTCTCGGGCTGACGACTTCTGAGGTATTATTAGGAGACACGAGGTCACTTTCATATTCCTGGGAGAAAAACTCCCTGATTTGCAGTGAGATCTTGGATTTGACCGGTGGCTTCTGTGTTACCCTGGATCAGCGGCTGTGATTCAGGTGACAACACAGAGCAAGCTGGCTTTTGCTCGTTAACCTTCCTTCCGTACCTCGAAGGATAACCTCAATTTCTCTGGGACTGCCCCGGAGCAGTAGACTTATGAAATACCGGTGGCAAGGCTGGAGCCTGTATTTTCTGGGGTTTGGCTGGACTTCTCTGTGGGCCGCCTTGCATATTAAAAGGCCTGTCTGGGCTGCAGGCTTTGTGTTTTCTGCTGTAAGCTGAAATGAGGGCCCAGGTTTGAGTATCTACTGCTCTCTACACGGCTGGGCTGGTTGGCTTCCTTTTCATGCTGCATTATCTGGAGGCTAAATGACGTGGGTACTGCTGGTGTGCGCACGGTGATTGGAAAGCCTCAGGAAACGTGATTTTAAAACCATAAAGTTGGCTGGGCAGCAGTGGCGCACGCCTTTAATCCCAGCACTCTGGAGGCAGAGCCAGGTGCATTTCTGTGAGTTCGAGGTCAGCCTGGTCTACAGAGTGAGATCCAGGACAGGCACCAAAACTACACAGAGAAACCCTGTGTCCAAAACAAAACAAAACAAAACAAAAACAAAAAAACAAAAACAAAACAAAACCCAAAACAAAAAACCATAAAGTGTGAGGATCTGTAGAAGACTCCTCCCGGGTGACAGTGTTCACCAGGAAGGGCCAGGACCCAAGGGATGGATTCTGGAGCCAAGGGCGCACCCTCAGCCCCCTGGGCTTCTGCAGTGTGTGGGCTGTGGGAGAGAATCGCAGGTTCAAAGGGAGGGCTTGCAGTCACCTGTGGCAAGAGGGGGGGGGGCCTAGGGGCAGGGCATGAACCCCTCCAAAACCCAAAAATACTCAGAGGACCGGAAGCCAACACTGCTGAGCCATGGAGACCCCGCTCCCCAGGAAGACCAGCCAGCCGCCGGAAGTCACAACCACTTCTGAAGGACTTAACATACTGTATGCTTCTACACCAGATTTCCTTCTCGTTGCCCAATGGAAAAAATAATCATAGTGGGGAAAAAAATTAAAATGTACAAATCTTAAAATGGGCTCTGAAATCAAACCTCATCTCTATCACCTGGATAAATGGTTCTCAGGCACCAGATGTGTGTGTGTGTCATTGGCTGCAGAGACGCTTTGTGTGCCCGTCGATGATGGATGCCGAGCTTCCGGTGGGTGGGAGGCCTAGCATTCAACGAGGTAGACTTTAAAAATCAGCGGCAGAAGAGCTGAGCCTTCCAATTTCTATCTTCGGCTCAAGTACAGTTTTGAGAGTTCAAATCCAAACGTGTATGGGTTACAGGGAGGGCTGACAGGCAGAGCGAAGTGTTTTGAGAGATTCTTCTCTGAGTTAGAAACCTAGAATTTACTTTGGACCCCTCCATCTTCCTTCACAGTGTCTCTCAGTCTCTCTGTCTTCAGGAGTCATTTGGCCAGCTTTCTAGACGTTTCTGGAACCCCCGACCCTCACCGCACTCTGTCCCTTCGCTGCCATGCTCTGGCTCAGACCCCCTGTGGCCTTTGTCCGGGACTGTTCCAAACAACTCCTCCTAGCGACTCTTCATCACACCGGCCTGGCACGGCTTCCCAGGGCTCCTCAAAAGGCTGTTCAGCACCAGGAGTCACTAGTGAAATGCAAAGCAAAACCACACTGTCAGAGTGATTGAAATAAAAACGAAGTCAGAAGCAAATGCTTTCGAGGACGTGGGTCGCCTAGAGACCTCTACAAGGGTGGTGGGCTGTAAAAGGCACAGCCGCTCTGGAAGACCTTTTACACTTTCCTTCCTTTCTTTTTTCTTTGTGGTGTGTGTGTGTGTGTGTGTGTGTGTGTGTGTGTGTGTGCATGTGCTCAAGTGTGTGAGTTTATGTCCAGAGGCCAGAGGTGGAAATAGGGTTTCTCCCTATTTCTCTACTTTTTTTTAAAAAATAAAATATTTTTGGGAGTTTTTTGAGGATCTCATGCATGCCTGCATAGACTTCATTTTGATCACATTCACTCCTTCCTCTGACTCCTTTCCTATCCACTCCCCATCTCCTCACCCCCCTCTCAATTTCATGTCCCTTTTCATAACTCATCCAGTCCAATCAGTGCGGCCCATATATTCCTGGGTGTGGGGTTATTCAATGAAGCATGGTCACGTCCTACTAAGAGCCACACCTGCTGTGGGATGGTCTGTATGTCAAATCTGTTGCTTTGATTGGTCAATAAATAAAACACTGATTGGCCAGTGGCTAGGCAGGAAGTATAGGTGGGACTAACAGTAGCTGTGGGACTGGCAGGTGACAAAGATTTGTCCTAACTGTGGGCCAGGCAGGAAAACTCTAGCTATACACACCCTTGAAGGAAATGGACTCTCCTTCCCTCAGGAGCCATCAGCTCTCGGTAGCTCCTCTGGGGCAGGGGCTCCTGAGCCCCTCCCCTCTCTATGCTGGAATGTTGACTGGCTTGACCTTGACCAGGCCAGCACAGCTGCTGTGCAGTGGCCCCATCGGTCCAGAAGACACTGGTTGTGGTTGTTTTTGTCCTTGTCTTCTCTGACTGCTACCTCCTTCTGGGTTGGCCCCTGAGGACTCCACTTTAGTTTTTGAGATAGGACCTCTGCTGAAACCAGCGCTCTCCATTTCTTTGAGACTGGCTAGCGAGTTGTAGGGATCCATTTGTCTCTGTGTCCACGGTGCTCAGGTTACAGGCACACACCACCAGGCATAGCTTTTTATGTGGGTGTTGGGGATTTGAACTCAGGTCCTCACGTTTGATCAGCAGGCATTTTACCCACTGACTCATCCTTCAAGTGTTTGACAGTTTATTTTAAAACTAAACATACAGCTACATTTAACCCTATAATTGCAGCCTTCAGCATAAACCCCGGAGGAAGAAAAGCTGTATTCACATGAACCCCTGTGAACACAGACGTCCAGAGAAAACTTCATTGATAATAGTGAGAACCATCTTTTGGTGGCCCAGATGTCTTCCCATAGAGGGATGGTTATACAACAGTGGCATGTCTACACTTTGGACAACTGTTCAGCACAAGGATTCAATTACTAATACATTCCGCTAAGAGGAGAGGTCTCCAGGAAATAACACAGTGCAGAAAAAGACAGAAGAGGGACTGGCGAGATGGCTCTGTGGCTGAGAGCGCTTGAGGTGCCCTGACGAGGGCCAGAGTTCCTGTCCCGTCACCCACATAACAAACCAGAGGTCTGCGTGCCTCGAGCCCTCTCTCCAGGGAGGCGTGGAGACAGGAGGATCTCTGATATTTGCCGATTTCCAACACAGCTGAGAAAATGCAAGTCTCAGCTTCAGGGAGAGACCCTCCCTCAAAGGAGTAGGAGGACCCCTAACACCTTCTTCTGACTTTCACACATGTACGTAGACATGTGCCCCAGGCTAGGTTGGCTAGGGTAACCCAAGGATTCACCTATCGCCACTTTGCTAACCTTGGGATTACAAGCATGTGCCACCATTCCTAGAGATTATCTATCTACCTACCTACCTGTCTGTCTGTCTATCTATCTATCTATCTATCTATCTATCTATCTATCTATCTATCTATCATTTATGGTTTTTCGAGACAGGGTTTCTCTGTGAATCAGTCCTGGCTGTCCTGAAACTTACTCTGTAG